ACACTGCCAGTTTCTTCAGTGATTTCTCTTTGCCTACAGGTCTTACTTATGAGTAACCTATTTTTTTTTCTATATATATACTATTGCCCTAAGGCAGTTTACTATTAGGCTTGCTGTTTGGGGAGTTTTTTGGTTTTTGTTTTTTTCTTTCTTAGGAGTAGTTACTCTGGGGTCACAGACCACCCCCTTCCTAAAATGTACCAGTCTGTCTTTCTGGAGAGAGGGTGTCCATAGTATTCTACATATTCTCAAAGGAGTCCATGACCCCAAAAAATCATAATGCCAGTAATATTTTTACTCTGCTCTATCATGCATATATAGTTTAAATCTCTTACAAAGCACCTTAGCTTATTATCTACTGAAGTTTTAATGATGTCATTGCCAATTTGTATGGTTTTCTCTTATAAATATTAAAATTTGGTAATTTTTTTCTTCGTGTTCTTTGCCTTTTATTATTCACCTGTTTTCTATATACTTTTCAATTTAACATGCAGAAGTTTCAGTATTTTTTTTTAAATTTTTTTCTTAATGTTTATTTATTTTTGAGAGAGACAGAGACAGAATGCGAGTGGGTTAGGGGCAGAGAGACAGGGAGACACAGAAGCAGAAGCAGCCTCCAGGCTCTGAGCTGTCAGCACAGAGCCCGACACGGGGCTTGAACACACAAGCCGTGAGATCATGGCCTGAGCCAAAGTCGGACGCTCAACTGACTGAGCCACCCAGGCGCCCCCAGAAGTTTCAGTATTTAAAGTAAGGCAATGGATTGCTCTTTCCTTCTGCTATATCTTTTCTCCCTGAAGTCCTAATCTGCTACCCACAATACAGAAATACTACACTTTTGGGGCGTTTGTGAGGTATTTATTTTCTGCTGAGACCATTGCAGAATTGAGCTGTGGCAGGGAGAGATAGTTATATATTCGTGGGTCCTTTAATTTGTATAAACCACAAAACTTATTTCCATATAATTTCTCTTATTTCTCTTTAAATGTGTAGGTTAAATTATTTAGTACATTGAACATTTAATTACACATTCAAAGAGAAGGGTGTTCCCCAAAACAACTGTAATGTTCAAAACAATTGTCATTAAACGCTATATGATTTTTTTTAAATCTTCAGTTCTGTTTTCATCACTTTTTCTGTAGCCTGGTGTATATGCATCTTGGTGACTTCAGTGATGTGTAGAATTTAGTTTGGTGTTTTTAATGCAGCTATAGTGTTTCATATTTAGCTTGATCATTACCTTCTTGCACTAAATAAGGCCTTTAATGCCCTGCCAGTGCAGGAATAGGTAATTACTGCTGTTATGAATAGTCTTTTAAAAGACTTGAGTTTGTTGATAATCTGCCATATGGAAAGGTTCATTGAGCCAAGGTCTATGCCACCTTGCACGGGAGCCTTGAAGAACTAGAATGGCCATGAAGTTTAGCGTCTGTCTTTGGTGTTGGGTGGGTGGTTTAGTGCCAGTAGTCCCTAACCCACCTGTAATTTTATGACTCTCAGGTTGTGCCCATGTTGTTTGGAGGTGATAGGTTTTGTGGTGGTCCTGAAATAGCTTGTGTAGCAGATTCTGTAATTCATTACTCAAACATGAAGAAAACATTACTTCAAAAAAGCATCGTAAGGATTTTAAATATACTGCCTACATTCTCTAAGTGCACTGCAAATGTGCTGTAACTAATAAAGCTTCCCCACTGATTTAAGAGAGTCTCAGAAGAAGCTGTACTAACTAGATGCAGAGCATCTTTGATTAAAAAAAAAAAAAAAAAAAAAAAAAAAAAAAAAAGACTTGGAACTGTCAAATACTTAGCAAGTCAAGAATATGGCTATATTGCAAACACCCTTACTGGTTTTACATTTGTCACAGGTGGAAAGAGAGTATTTTACTATCAAGAGCTATTACTGTTATTATTCAACTAAGTGAGATTTGATTCTATAAACAAACATTACTAGTAAAAATCCTCTTAATTTTCCACACTTTTTATCATTTTATGTTTAGGCATAACACTATGTTACTAATTATCATGTTTGTTAAAGCAAAGTAAAAACACTTGAAAAATAGAACGTGCATATAAATATATTATTTGAATGAGGAAAGTAGTGACTCCCATATTTGCACGTTTTTATAGAAATTTTTTAAAGTTGTGTTCAATATACAGTGCATATAATTTAGTACACATGATGAACCAAGAACAGTGATTAATTTTTACAACATGTTTCATGGTCTGGCTAGAGTTTTATCACTTTAAAAACTAAAAAATCCACAAGGTTGCCTGGATGGCCCAGTCACTTGAGTGTTCGACTCTTGATTTCAGCTCAGGTCATGATTTCATAGTCATGGGATCAAGCCCCACATTGGGTTCTGTGCTGAGTGTGGAGCCTTCTTAAGATTCTCCCTCTCTCTCTCTGTGCCCCTCTTCCATGTTTGTGCTTGCTTGCTCTCTAAAATAATAATAAAAATAATTCCACATACAAAACGATAACTTCTTTTTAAAAGTTTATTTTTGAGAGAGAGCGAGAGAGTGAGCGAGCAGGGAAGGGGGAGAGGAAGGAAGAGAGAGGATCTGAAGCAGGCTCCACACTGTCAGCACAGAGCCCGATGCAAGGCTTGAGCTCATGAACCATGAGATCATGACCTGAGCCAAAATCAGGAGTCAGATGCTTAACCAACCAAGCCACCCAGGCACCCCTTTTTAAAAATATTTTTAATTAATTTTGTGGCTAATTTTCACAGCAGTGATTGAGTATGTAAAATTTTATAAGTAGATGGAATAATTACAAAAACTGTTAATATTACAGAATTTCTTTATATATTCTGTCATTATGTATTCTGTAGATGGAATGGGTACCCAGTTGTGAAACAGCACATAAAATCTTCTTTTCCAAATACTTGGTTTTAGAAAAACTAGTGAAAGTAAATTCAGCATTGTTGCTTGTAGGTGAATCTTTTAAAGGCAATTTTATGCATGTCTGGGCTGCTAGAGGAGACCTCTCACGCTTCTGTCAGCAGCTGAATGACAACAGCATTGTTTTATTTTCCTTTGTGGAAAGAGGGCGGTGTGTGTACATAACAATATCATAATAGTTTTAGACTATGATGACAGTTTGAGGTTGTTTGGGAGATACGATTTCTTAAAAGTTATTGAATATAATAACGTGTGTAGGTTCTCAATAAATACTCTTTGGGTTTAACCTGAGACAACCTCCAAATCCTGTGTAGATGCTTATAGCCTCATATATTACCTTGATTTATAGATCCATTCGGGAAGCACTGTCAATTTGAAAAATATTATGCTTTCTATCATGTGGCATATGCTTCTTAAAAGTCTACCCTGCTTCCTTTCTCTGTTTCTTCTTAGCCTCATTCTATAGATTGTCTTTATTTGCTCCTTAAATGTTGGTATTTCCGAGGATTCTGTTCCAGAGTCTCTCTCCCATGCTACATATTCTAGATTATCTAGGCAATTGCATTCATTTCCATGGTTTTCCCAGATGTCTTTCTTCTACTTGAATGTTTATTCTGAACCCTTGACCTATGTGCCCAATTATCTACATAACATCTCCTAGATGGTCCCAGGCAATTCAGTGATATGTTTAACATTAAGCTCATCTCCTTCTTTGCACATTCTTATCTAACTCTCCCAAGGGAAAATAAAAGAACACATGTATGCACATACATATAGAATGTGGACACACACACACACGCACATGCACACGTGCATATACATATAGAGTGTATGGGCTTCTCCTGTTTTGGAAAGCCCACTGCTAATATGTAGCAGGCTTGGAACTTCTATTCAAGTCTTCTGAATGTGAATCCTGAGCTCAGAGTATACTTTCTATAATGTGGTGGTGACCGTGTCTTCTGAACCAAAATATAAGATATATGGTTTGACAGTATTTGAAGCCTGTGATTGTTACTGTAATTATACCTCATTGCTTTTTTGTGTCATTTTATTAAGTTGTCGGCATTATGGTGGACAGACACCAGTAATACATTTAATATTAAAAAAATCACAACTCTGATTAGTATGAGACATGTGGTATGTGGTACATATGCATGCATTGTGTGTGTGATGTTACCTAATTAGGGAGATGAGATAATGCTTCGCCTTCAAGGGATGATGAAATTCCATGTGGAGGTTGAGGAGTTCACCAGGCAGCATTAGGGTATGGGGGAAATGGAGAATGTTCAAGTGAGACAGCTTGCACCGAGATCTGGTGCTGGGAAGGTGCATAGTGTGTGTGGGCGGCTGTCTCTGTGCAAGGTAACTTGTCATCTTGGTAGAGGTTTTTATCCCCTCTTTTCTCTCTTGCCCCTTTAGTTCCTTATTCTAAAAAAAAACCAAAAAACCCTCAAAGCTAAAGTTTATATTAAATAGAGAGTAATAGTAATAGAATGCAAAAGGTAACTGCTTTTCAAACCATGTGGTAGTGATTTGAGTTAGATGAACCGTAGAATTTAAGGAGTGAACAGCCAGGACTTAGAATGTAATACAACACAAAAATGAAAAAGGGCTTGTGATGATGTGGTTTCTCCTCTTGTTACCAAAAATCACTCTAGCATTTATAACCACTGTCCTGCTACATTTTGATAAACCGGGGAGTAATTAAATCCTAAGTAATAAATTTCAGAATCTCTGCTTAAATTATAAATGACTCATTTTGTAAGTGCATTTTTTACCGTGAAGTGTAGTATGCCATGCAATATGTCTTTGTGTGTTTGAGAATGAATTCAGGCTGTAGAAATTCTATTAGAATGTAGAGTGACTTTTGAACTACACTGATCTCTGGTCTTTGGTATTCTAAACTTAATGACTGTTTATTCTCTTGTTCTGTATATGCATATGTATTATCCTTCAAAGGTAATTCTGAAGTTTGGGTCTTCAGAACATTTCTTCAAGTACTCTTACCCATTTCTTGAGTAGGAAATTGTGTTCTAGAAATGAGAAATTATTTTCATTGTCTTTAAAAACTTAGTTCATATCTGTTTTTCTTTGCAGAAAGGGCTATTGCAAGACATGAAGTTCGAGAAATTGAGCAGCGACATACAATGGATGGTCCTCGACAAGAGGCAGCACTAGATGAGGAGGAGGATATGGTGATCATTTATAACAGAGTCCCCAAAACTGCAAGCACCTCTTTTACCAATATTGCCTATGACCTTTGTGCAAAGAATAAATACCATGTTCTTCACATCAACACTACCAAAAATAATCCAGTGATGTCACTACAAGACCAGGTAAACACTTAGGAGATGAATAAATGTTTTCTGATACTTTCCCACTCTCTTTGTATCTCAAGAGGAAGGAACATTTTTAGAGATCTGTGTGCTGACTCCAGTGAATTGTAAGTCTCTTGGGGGAAGGACCAAACACCTTTTCTATAATTTTACATTTTTCCACAGTATTTGATACATTTCTTTGCATATTATATGTATTCAAATATTTATAAAAAGTAGTTTATGAATAGCTTTGGATTTGTGAAGAGAAAATGATGCCTTTGATATCCTTTTAAAAATATGAAAATTTTTTAGCAAGATACCCTGCAATAAAAATCGTTCTGCTGTCTCATTTTATGGTAGAGAAATTTATTTATTTATTTATTTATTTATTTATTTATTTATTCATTCATTCATTCATTCATTCATTCATTCATTCACTTACTTACATGTTTGTTTGTTTGTTTCTGAGAGAGGGAGACACGGAATCTGAAGAAGGCTCCAGGCTCTGAGCTGTCAGCACAGCTGTGTTCACAGCCAAGTACCTGTGTCCTATATCACTCAGTTTTGTGACTAACCTCCTGAACTTCATCTTGTCTGTACTAGTAATTTATATAATATTAGCTACAAACTTCTGGAGAACAGGAATTGGAGCTTATATTTTTAACATAATCTTGCCTTTTAAGTTGTCAAGAAACTTTAGATAAGCAAATGGGTAGCTATGAAATAGATTTAAGAAAAATGGAGGAAATTATCTCATGAAAAAAAATTATCTCTTTAGCAGTGGTAGCACACATTTTCTCCACACCTGGAGTTCTGACTGTAATTATAAATAAATAGAATTCTCTAAATATTGAAGGGAATGGGAATTGGGCTCGATGAGGAGAAAAGATGATATTTGAAAATACTCTCTAGGATTAAATACCATATTGCAGTAGCCTTATTAGAAAGATTGTTGATAGTCATATAGTTAAGATTGTATTTATCTGTTTGACAGCAGCTGAACTTGTTTTATTGGTCACAGAATTGACTCTAATCCCATTCTTAAGTATACTTAAAATCCTTACACAGAAACAAGAGAGTAACACTGATACACAAGGTTAAGATTTGTTTTCTTAGAGAGCTGTTTGTAAAGACTAATAGTATATGGCATATCATCTGCCCATATAATTCTTGGCTTTCTGCAGTATCCTCAATTACTCTTTTTCATAAAACCAAAAATCTACATCCATCAGCCAAACTAAATAACTCTTCTATAAATGAGAAGAAACATGAGCTTATTTAGCTAAGTGGGTCATAAAAACTATTCATTATGTAATACTGTATATCTCAAGGGCAAGTATCCTAAATAATCAGTTTATATGTAGTGTGTGGTAGATTTTAAATTTCTTGCTTGATTGCTTTTCAAAATGTATCTTGGTTTAAAAGGAACAACTCAATACTCACATAGTAATTTTAGATTTAGATTTATTAGTAGTATCTTTTATTATTTCTTTATTTATTTTTTTAAGTTTATTTTGAGAGAGAGAGCATGTGCGGGGGAGAGGCAGAGAGAGAGAGGGACAGAGAAAGAATCCCAAATGGGGCTCAAACTCATGAACTGTGAGATCATGACCAGAGCTGAAATTAAGAGTTGAATGCCTGACTGAGCCACCCAGGAGCCCCCTAGTATTTTTTTAGAAAAGTAAAGTTATCTTGCTTATTTTGTGTCCAGCATTACAAAGTTTTATGACAGCTACAAGATATCTGACAGTGACATTGACCATTTTTTTTTTTATGAAGTAAGAATCTATGGAAGCTCTCCACATATGACATTTATAGGCATCATGTAGTGATACATTTTCCCAGTTACATTTGGATGAGCTAAAGCTTCTGTTTTTCTTTCAATAGCTCATGAGTTACATGTAGACAAAAAGAACATTAAAAGAAAAGCACTATCTTTTAAAAAAAATTTTTTTAATGTTTATTTTCGAGAGAGAGACAGAGCACAAGCAGAGGAGGGGCAGAGAGAAAGGGAGACACAGAATCAGAAGCAGGCTCCAGGCTTTGAGCTGTTAGCACAGAGCCTGACACAGGGCTCAAACCTGTGAACTACAAGATCATGACCTGAGCCGAAGTCAGACTCTTAACCAACTGAGCCTCCCAGGCGCCCTGATAAACACTATCTTAAATGCAGTGGGATTACATGATGAACAGCACTTAAATTGTGCTTGTGTAGAGAAATACTTTTTAGCTCCAGTTCTTTCCTAAATGTATTTTATACATACTGTACTAGGCATTGTACTAAATTGTTCACATGCTTAATTATTTTTCTCAAAAATTTTAGAGGCAAGGTCCAAATATTTTGAGTCTGATATAAAACTGCTGAGTGGGTAATAGCTATCTATGCATACTCTATCATCCTGAGAAGTAGTTGTCCACTCTGCTTTCAAGTTTTCATTTATTTTTGAGTATGTAGTATATACAGAGTTTGTGCTATATTCTTTGTTGAAATAGGAACGAAAAAGCAAGGCCACATCTTTGAAGAAGCTTCTTTGTAATTTACTCGGAACATAAAACATAGATGCAGGAACTATGAGGACTGTTTAAAGAAAAGATCTGGGGCGCCGGGCTGGCTCAGTCAGAAGAGCATGCAGCTCTTGATCTCAGAGTTGTGAGTTTGAGCCCCACACTGAGTGTAGAAATTACTTAAAAATCTTTAAAAAAAAAAAAAGGAAATATCACTTCATGATATTCTCACAAAAGTATTTAATGCAAAATGTTTCTTACCAGAATGTTTAATCTAGACCTAATCTTGAAAGAAACAGAGAAATCCATCTTGTTGGAACATTCTCTAGAATAATCGTCTTGAACTCTTCTAAGGTATCAATATCATGACAACTAAACCAGATATGGTTGGGGGTGAGGCAAGACAGTCCTCTCTAGAGGTGAGGAGACTAAAGAGACATGAAAACCAAACGTAATGTGTGATCTGTAACTGGATCTTTGATCAAAAATGTCTGCTACTTGTTTTCAGATGGTTCAGAAAAAATTAAGTGTGTGTGTGCATATGGAGAAAGAACAAAGAGATAAGCAAAGGTGGCAAAAGGTGAAGTTAGTGAATCTTAGTGCATGAGTATGCAGATTTTGACCATATTATTATTTCATCTTTTCTGTAGTTTAGGGATTTTTCACAATGAAGAAATTGGAATAAAAGAAGAGGGAAAGTTAGAACAAGGGATTGGAAAGATAAACATTTGAGAATGTGAGGCGTGGGAAGACGAAGCAATGAGAGTGAGCGAGAGGCAGTCTTGGGAGTTATATTTGTGAGGTGTGCCTTACTCAGTGAATAGGCAGGAATTGGCAAGAGACAGGTAATCATTTAGCTCTTGTAGTTGGAAAATGAAGTTTACTCTGCTATCATGAACATACTTCTACATTAGAGAATGTCTTGTCTTTAAAGTAACTGTCAAATAGGTGTTAAGTGGCAGCATCTTTTGGGATCTTTCTTATTTCTTTTCTACACTCATATGTTTAGGTTTGTGATCATATTTAGTCCTTTTCTAAGCATTGAAAATACCCAGAATTTGCATTCTCTGTAGGACAACATAGTGATTTTTTTTTTCCTTTTAGTTCACTGTTAACCTTCTGATCTTTGCATTAATGCCTATGATTTGATTAGTTGCAGATACTGATTTTTCAAGCGTCACTTTAGATGAGTGCTTCTTATCCTGTCATGTGTATATTAACCACCAGTTAAAGTATAGATTCCGATTCAGAAGACTAAGATGGAACCTGATAATGTGAATTTCTAAAAAATCTTCCACCTGATGCCAAAACTGATTCTCCTGGTCCTTGAACTATAGTTTAAGTAGCAAAATATCTAGAACACAGGTCTCAGTGGGGTTATGAGAACATACGTATTATAATCTTCATAGGATAGTGAAGCTTAATCTTTCAATTCATGTTCCCACCTCCCCAACAAAATCCAGATTCCTTACCTAGACCAACAGGCTCTTTTAAATCTAGTCCTCATCCATTGCTGTATCCTCTTGTTTACCAGCCACACACTGGCCTTTTGGTTCATTGTCTGCGCCAGTCCTTTTCCACTTCAAGGCTTCTGCACTTAACCATTCCATCTTAGAATGTTCTGGTTTCTCCTGATTGGCTTCATGTTATCCTTTTTAACATTTCAGCTTAAATGACATCCTCTCAGAAAAACCTTACTACCCATCCTATATATTAAATACTTCTTCCAAGTTACTGTGTACCATCAGCATTCTTTCTGTATCTTTCTTATTACTTACTCATTTGTTTACTATTGGTCTTTTCCTCTGTATAAGCTCCTAAAGGGCAGGAACCGTGTCTGTTTTATTTATTACCATATTCCTTGTGTTTAATCTTTAAATTTTTTTAAATATTTATTTTTGAGAGGGAGTGAGCATGGGAGGGTCAGAGAGAGAGAGAGGGAGACAGAGAATCCATAGAAGGCTCTGCATTGCCAGCACAAAGCCTGACGTGGGGCTTGAACTCGCAGACTGTGAGATCATGACCTGACCTGAAGTTGGATGCTCAACTGACTGAGCCACCCAGGTGCTCCAGTATTCCTTGTATTTAGAATGGTGTCTGAGACATAGTATATATGCTCCATAAAACTTTTGTTGAAAGAATGAATGAGAGAACAAATGAACTTAGGTACTGAAAGTAGTTCCTAGTTGAGCATAGTACCACTGATGATAATTACTGGCAGAATGAGCCCCTTTTATCGATGGCAATGTGTTCTCCCCTTACCTCAGGCGATTTGAGACACACCCACTGTGCCTCCTGCAAAGGAAAGCCTGAACAACACAATCCTGAACTTTGGTGAAGATACTGTGTTCTGTTGCTGCCGAACCTTTCTTATGTTTTATCCAGTTATTATTCACTTTTCCTTTTTGCATAGAAAACTTTCTCTCTAGTTTAGTCTCGAAAAACTACCCACAGCTGTACAATGGATATTTATTTTAAGTATAGGCATGAGTAGGAGTTTGGTAGATAGTAAT